ACCAATTTCCTCATTCTCAAACTAGGATGCCCTATTTTATACAGTGTTTCCTACAAAGTGTATCTTTCAGCATTAATCCAATTGATTGAAATTGGTATCAAGAAGGATTATTAAGGTTCTCTGATATCCATTGCCTATGATAATGAACAACTGAGAATATAATAGTTCACAGTATCCACGTGGTTCCCCCTGGAAAATCTTGATTAATTCTAAATGAATTCGTCACTATGAGTCAACTGGCCTGCTTCCATCGTCGTTTATCACTTCTCACTGGTGCCCTGTCAACTTATACCGATAACGCAAACAAGGTTAAACATTCCATTTCCACCCTTTAAAAAAAAGTATGCAGAAGGCATTAAATACATCTGGTCAGACAACTTGAGGATCGCCTACAAAGTTCCAGTCAGTTTCTAACATTATTCTTTTACTCTTTCTTCCTCTTTCTCTCTTTTAGCACTCTCTAATCACTAGAGATATTTAATATATAAATTAGAGTCTAATTCATCTAGCGTACTCAATTCTAAAGCTCTATTTTCTAAATATTTCTCTAAAATTAAATTTTTAATTTATTTATTATTTATTTATTTAACTCTTTATTGCACCATAAATAAAAATATACAATGACAAGTGAATAATTCAAGTGAAATACAGTAACATAAATACAGATTGAAATATACACATAAAGGTACAAAAGGCGGTCTTATCGCTAGGGCAATCTCTTACAGACAACCTTTAGTTAAAGGAGAACAGATAGAAAAATATTTAATAGCACAAGAAAATCCTAGGAGCTCATAATAAAGGAAGATATTAGCTTAATATTATTTCGCTAAAACGGTTTTTTTTTTTTAATGAATGATAATGGAATACTAGTGAGGGATGATAGGCGAGGACAAAGCAGGTCAGCCTATCGTGATAAATTCAACAATAAATCAATCACGACAGTTTGCAGGGGAAACCGCGAGGAGGTCGACCTGATAGGATTTATTAATACCAATGGGGGTTAATTCCTATTACTAATAATTCCTTCTCCCTCCAATTAACGTGGATTATTAGATTATTTAGATTATTATTAATTAAGATATTTCGTAAATTTTTCATTTTATTATGCTAATGGATTGTTGTCCGTACCGTACTTCTTTTACGATGTCCTGGACATTACAGAGTACAAATTGAATTTTTACTTTATCACCAAACACTTGAAATTATGTCACTTTCAATTTCCCACGTACTCTTTACAGTTTATTGAACTTAGTTGCAACATTCTAACAAGATAATAGTTGTTATTATACTTACGTTAGCTCTAACTTTAATTCCACAATTTGTGAATTTACTGGGTACAGAGGAATAACACCTGAGTCCTCAGGAATGGCAACGCATGGGGGGTATCATGGGCGAAACAGTATACTCTGTTATGTCCATGGTACTGCCCATGTCTATAGGCGACGGTTACCACTTTTCATCAGGTGGGTCGTCAGCTTGTTTGCCATTTTAAGTTGTATAAAAAAAAAACAAGGGAAAGGGATTGTTAATAATTAAATCTAAATTCCTCATTGCTAACAATATACCCATCAGGTCAAACTCCACGCAGTTCTTCTAGTTAGTTCCATTACTAGCAATATACTCTGTCAGGTCGACCTCCACGTGGTTTGCCCTGGAAACCATCGTGGCTAATTCTAATTGAATTCGTCAGGATGGGCTAACTGACCTACTTTCATCCTCATTAGTCATCTATCACTGGTGCCCCGCCATTGTATACCGATAGCGCAGACGGGGTTACCATACCATCACCCATTAAAAAAAATACGTTTCATCTCATGCTCATGAGTATCCATACATTGTTGGAAAGTATGAACCCTTGAAGCTGATCTAGCTGCAGTGTAAAAATTAATTAATTAAATTTAATTAAAATATAAATGAATGTATAAATAATGTATGTATTTTAATAAATAAATAAAAAATAAATCTTTAACTTTAGATTTTAATAATGCCTTGTGAAATTCGAGCTCTAATATCTTCCTTATATCAGACATTTATATCATATTAGAGATTACGTTATCTCAGCCATAATCGTACGTATGGCTCACGGTCAGAAACGTTTAGAGGTTAAGACGGACTGGCGAACAGACATGCTTTGTTTTACAATATTCGATTGGACTTTGGTTGAGGTCACTTAATCATTTGCGGTCTTACCACAAAAATAATTTTAAACACTGCCTATCTGAACAGTGTTTAACAAAACACTAACTTTAGTCGGTGTAACAATGTTTGTTTGTAATTTTATATGCCAAAGTTTATAAACTATTTTAATGAAAGTTATTATTTTAATAACCTTTTGTGTTTATTAAAAAAGATTATTTTACATTATTGTTATACACGCTTTTATAATAAGACATCTGTTGCGGCCACTTTGACCAATTTTCTCGCTGGCCGCCAATACATTCGATATACAAAATCTAACTGCATTTTCACAAGACAAAGGACTACGACGATGATCGATTAAGAAGACGAACATCATTTTCAGAGAAGAAATATGCCTTTTAATTTAATGCTTTAGACGTCCATATTTCGACCCTCCGACCTTTGATCTTTCAACATCTAAACGTGTATTAAACATCTGTCTATCGCAAGTTTAATTTATTTGTGGTAAAACGATTGTCGTTTGTACTTAATTTTTTTACATACTTAAAAATAAATGTAAAAAAATAGCACCTACATGGCCGTGTCTCGTCTTTATCTTATCATACACAGATTGATGACATGTTAATTATCTATATATGAAATGAATGAAATAATTTTATTTAATTTATCAGAATTTCGACAGACTCGCGACATCGTCTGCGTAGCTAGGATATGTTGATTATTTAGGGTAAAAAGAAGCCTTATTTGCATCCCAAATAGTATGTATAGTACTTACCAAAAAATAGTGACAAATAATGAAACTCACTTTTAATTTTTTTTTTTATTAATGATAATGGAATGGTAAGAGCATATTCCTTTTTAAAAGCCCGTCAGCACACCTGCAATGCCGTAGGTGTTGTGGGTGAATGGAATGGTGAACCAAAAAAAAAAAAATGGTACCCCACCCGCGCTATCGGTATACACTGGTGGGGCACCAGTGAGGGATGACAGGTGAGGATGGAGCAGGTCAGTGAGCCTATCGTGACAATTTCAACAATAAATCAATCACGATAGTTTCCAGGGGAAATCGCGATGAGGTCGACCTGATAGGCTTTATTTTGAAATTTATAAAATTATTAAGAATTTCAATTTTTTTTAATTTCTTTATATATCCATACTAGCTGACCCCGTAAACGTTGTTTTACCACTTATTGCGAAATATAAAAATCGCAATTAAAATACAAGGGTTGGTCCTAAAATGATGAAAATTTAAAGTTGTATGTATTTTTCAATTCTAAATTATAATAAAATAAAAATAAAAACAATTTGTCAAAAAAATAAAAAAATAAAATTTTAGGGTGGGTCACTCTTCTCATTGAGGAGTATGAAAAATAGATGTCGGCCAGATTGTCAGACCTCAGCACACAAAATTTCATAAATATCGGTAAAGCCAATATGCACACAACACGTTTCATTAAACATCGGATACAAACAAACGTTCTTCCACATTCATCAATCTTTTCATACACGCTCGAGGAGTTTTAATTTGGCCCTTCTTCAGCACGTCGCCTATTTGGTCGACAACGTCCGTCTACCGCACGATAAATCTCTTTCGTACGAGAATTTTATATATTAGATATATAAAAAGAATTAAAGAAAATATATTCATCTAATGCAAGTACTTAATCAGAATCTGACTATAAAACCTTCTCAGTAGGTACTAACTCTACACGTGTTTCATATATTATTAGCACTATTGATTAATATTCATTAGGAAGCCAGTGTCAATAGTCAGTTATAACTTAATTCCTACCTTTGAACACTCCTTCATACAGTTTTTCATCGTATAGTTTAAGATTTTTTTTTGGACTTAAGACTTAAGATTGGCCAAAAAAGTTCACAAATTTTTCCTAATAATGTATTGATTACATTATTTTTATTGTTAGAAAGACAAACATAGCAGACGGTCCACCTGATGGAAAGCAAAAACCATCGCCCATGACCACCTGCAACACGAGAGTAGATGCTTGTACGTTGCCAATCTTTTAATTTTTTTTTTATACAACTTAGAATGGCAAACAAACTGACGGGCCCCCTGATGGAAAGTGGTAATCGTCACCTATAGACATGAGCAGTACCATGGACATGACAGAGTATACTGTTTCGCCCATGCGTTGCCATTCCTGAGGACACAGATATTATTCCTCTGTACCCTGTAAATTTACGCCATATCCCACCCTTCAAACCGAAACACAGCCATGCAAACACAACTGCTTTACGGTTGAAACACGAATGGGACAGAGGTACCCATGCAAACAAATTTACTAAATGTTAAATCAATACATTTGTGTAGTTTCAAAAATATACTATAAGACTTGGTTAATTCTTCAATCCAACTAGAAAACCTTTACTGCGAATAACAATTGATAATTTTTCATATAGGAAATAATCTCGCAGTCCATCGCCATATCCATAAAATTATTTTTGTATGTCAGGTGTGTTATGATTTAGTATTTGTCATATAATTGACTGATAATTTTATCATGTTTTGTACAAAATAAAAAAAAACAATTCGCTTTGTTTTGATTGCACTCACCACCTAAATTTATAATCGATCGATCAGTGTACATACAAAAGTACCTATCTTATAAATATTGTTCGAAAAATATACCTAATTCGATTCGATAATATTACTTTGTTAACAGACTTCAAATAAAGAGAATTAAATGTTCCACTGTATATATTTTTTTTATTTCTTTACTTTGAGCGTCTTTAATTATACATGAGTATGTATTTGGCAAGGATTCTTAAAAAAATTCGACATTTGGTTTTCAACCAAATTTCAATTCAATGACAATGACAAAAAAATGACAATTCGAAAATTTGGTTGTTAAAAGATTTATTTATTCAATATTTATCTCTACTTTGCAAATATATGCAGCTAAACTATAAAAATGTAAATTAGATATTTAACAAATAATATTGTTCTTGTTGCCGTGTAGGTCCCGGAATAGAATAGGCCACCCCTTCCTTTCCCGTGGGTGTCGTAAGAGACGATTAAGGGAGGGCGAAGGATGGCCAGCAGCGTCCTTAAAACATCTCTAAAGCCTAACTGCGGTTGCCGATCCGCCTGCCAAGCGTGGCAATTACTGGCAAACCCCCCAAGGGGGAGGCTTATGTTCAGCAATGGACAGTTAAAGGCTGATATAATTATTGTTCTTCTGTTTAATTTAAATAAATAAGTTTAAACTTTTACCATTACCACGCACTTAATTATATTTTACGAAACAATTATTACTCATACCGACAAAAATAAGAAATAATTTTACGTTATTTTTTGTAGGAAATATCTACAAAAGAGAAAAGTGTTTCAATATATGATACATAGATAGATAGAACTGTCCACTACTGAACGTAGGCCTCTCCCATAAGTGGGCTTTTGGTAGTAGTTGCCACGCTTGGCAGGCGAAGTAGCAATTGCAGTTAGGTTTTAAAAATTACAGCATCCCACTTAAAACATCACAAACAATACTAAACAATATTTTTAAATTAAAACTATTACTGCATATTATTTATTACTGTATATTGATTATTATTATAATTAAAAAAATAATACGTCCCTAACTCTTCCTAACTCTTAATGAGAAACATAAAAAGCTCAGCCTGACTTAGCAATGCGTGACGTCACTAATACTTTTTAATATACATAAAATATGTAACAATCAGGCACATAACATTATTGTATGTGTATTTTACACCATACGATATAGATACCGTATTACATACTGTTCACATTGGTCAACACGAATATGTTATTCTAAAACGCCATTTCCCCCAACATACTTTTTAACCTAATATTTTAAATTGATAATTTCGCAATATTACTATTTTATAGACCATCATAAATTAAATTTATGATTATTTTAATGTTAACCTATTAGAAATTTAGTTTATATAAATATCTACTTATACGTAAGATATCCCTGTGATATTAAAGTAAAATTTTAGAGTTATGTTTACAAAAATGGTACCACACAATCGACTGTATTGTATACGTAAATTAAAGGACATAAATATATTTTTAATGGCAACCCATGAGACGGTCTACGACAAAGTCTCGAGTACACTCTTGCGTTGCCATTTAGAAAAATATCTTTCTGGTTAACCAGCAGTATTACATATATCTTCTTTAAACGTCTGATTATATTTTTATTAAAGTTTATAATATTATCGTTATTTCTTTAATAAACCCAACAACCTTTTGATGCGTTCTCTGGCAGCTCCATTAGATTTTCCCGTGTTGCGCACAACGTCACATCTTGAATTTCTTCTATTCAAATGGCTCTGTATTTTTACATCATCTGTATGTATTTTAAGCTCTTGGCGCCGTCGCTCTGAAATATTAAACGTAATATTGTAATACTGATGTAAAATAAAAACATTTTAGACGTAGAACCATTTTGGTATGAGACGTGCTATCGATCGAGAATCAAAAATTAATGGCAGCTTTTATATTTGCATGCATTCGTATATCTGAAAAAAAAAAAGATATTGTTTCTAGTATAGGCAGTAAAAAATATTGTATATATAATTTTAGATAATAATTCTAATTAAAATAAAGAGCAACTCGGGGCATAACCCAGAAATAACCAGATCTCATTATTAATATGGTTGGTCTGGTCATAATAATGTTACAAAACACGATAATATAAAAATTACACTAAAACATAGACACCAAAATTTTTTTTTATAACAGGGCCCAATCGATCCTGCGACTCACCTGATGGTAAGTGACTACCGCCGCATATAGTTATAATATAAAATACAATAATTTATAAGTTATATAGTAAATAGTTTAAAATATAAAAAGAAAAAGTCTACTAAAAGAAAAAAAAAGTCAAAGAAGACAAAATAACCAAAGCCAATATTCTAAAACGAAAATAATAAGCCAGTTGACATGCTAATTTCCGAGAGAGATTATATTCGTATTATACACTAGCTTTATCTCGTAGTTCGCCCACATAAAAATAGTACATTAAGTATCCTATGTAAACCAAATTTCATTCAAATCTGTCCAATAGTTTTTGATAAGCGTTATAAACAACTATCATTATAAACTTCCGTATTTATAATACTAATAGAATTTTTTGATATAAATGACCTGAAGTTCTGTTTTGATACCTTACTTCCGCAAATGAAAATTAAATAATCACGGCACTGAAGCAAATGGACTTTATCATTTGTATTAAATTATAAAGTCGTTTATCAATATTCTGCAATAATTATAATATAGTTTTTGTTACACTCGTATATTACGAATGTACTTTGAACTGCAAGGACATAAGTGACGTTAGATGGATGATATAACAAATAAATTGGGTAGGCAGATATCTGGTTTATTTATTTATAACAATGTAGCAATTAATAATTATAATTGTTTAGTCCCAAAATGGAGTCATAATCAACATGAGATATTTTTTTTATTAAGTAAACAGTTAATTTATCTATAAAAAAATGCATATTCATCATAAGATCTCAAAACTAGAAACTTTGAGCCTTAAAATCCTTTTTTTTTTAAATTCCAATACGACAATTTTTAAAGGAAATACTACTTGAAAAACCTTAAAAAATTTGGCATTTTTTTTTATCCCTTAATTTTTTCCTCTAGTGTAATTAATATGTTAACATGGAAAATTGTTCTATTAACGCTATAAATACGAGAAGTTGCAGCAGTATGTTGTAAAAAAAGTAAAGACGTTTGAATGTCTTTTTTTTAATGGGTGACACATTTTAGAATGGTACACGTGGTAATATAGGAAACGCGTGGAAGTCGATCTGATAGGGTGTACTGCTGGCAATAGGGCTGTTAGACCCTATAACTAGCAAACCCTTTCTCTTCCAGATGTTTGGATGTTGTCTTAATCAAACATGGTTTGACTGAAACTTGGTATATAGATAGACTATATACTGATAGTTGTAGTTAGTTTAATTTTTTATTTTTATATTTTTTTTGTGCAACTTAGAATGGCAAACAAGCTGACGGCCCACCTGAAGGAAAGTGGTAACCGTCGCCTATAGACATGAGCAGTGCCATGGACGTAACAGATTGTTGTTTATATTCACGCGGGCAAAGTCTCAGTATACATAAATTTCTCTTGTATGACTACTAATGACTGGTAGAGAATGCCATCACCTGATGGCATTCTTTATTAGATTAAGTCCGCCCTGTAGGTATATTTTAATGCGTGCAAAAGTATAAATAAATGAAATTATATTAATACGCTCAACTTAATAAAGACCCATATCTCTTACCACATATTTTCCATAAATGCAAGGTGGAACAATAGTAACGTTATTAGATAATTTCAATTATACAATATACTTGGGCTCAGAAATTAAGGAAGCGTAAGTTCATGCCTTAGATTAGGTAAATAAATCGAGCATCGAGCATCAACACTCAAAACGGGTCAACTTTTTATCAGCTATTTGTCAAATTAGCTGACTCGTTTTCTTTATCAGTATTCTATATATTTACGCATAAAATGTATCTTGACATGTTATTTAATAAATAAAATGAATGTTTACGCATTAAAAAGATGCAGAATTTATAAGAATATTATAAAGGAATTACTCATAATTATTTATCACGCAAAATTATATGAAAAATTGACTGTGTACTCTGTTTAATCTAAGGTTCATGAATTTTCGTTATCTAAAAAAATGGCGGGAAACTCAAGTGCAAAATTTGTCCCGCGCCTGCTTCTAACTAATCTGTCAACGCATAACAAAACTACTATGTGAAAAACTTTATAACTGCTAGCTGCACACGTGTTGAACACATGGTAATGTTGCTAAAATTATCAAATGGACTTTATTTTGTCTGAACGTCACGATATTAACAGTGTTATATGCCAGTAAAAGTCATTGAAATATTCTGTTTATAGTCATTTAAATTTTATACTTGGAAGTGTTAATATTTATTTTTCTTCTAAAGAGAGTCGTGGCCCAGAAAATGTTGAGAATCAGAGTTATAACCCTTCTTCCTAACTTTTATTTATAGACTTGATTAGCTAGATAATTTGTAGATAGTCCATAATAACTTTTACGAGAAATTTACAGCATCTTAAATATAATTTTGAATTAAATTTTATTCAATTATACCAGCCATACTGTTCACCGTTGAACCTTTCCCTAAGGGGGGTTTCACAGTTTTTGGTAACGTTTTAAAGGGAACACCGTCGCCCATCCTTCAGTCATCAAGTTCCCTTAGTGGCCTCTTACGACACCCGCGGAAAAGAAAGGGATGGCCCATTCTAATTTGAGGCCACACGACAATATAAATACACAGGCGTTATCAATGTAAAATATACTAAAACTATGATATAGACGTTTTTGTATATCAATCTGTCTGTATGCGTGAAATCTGCTGGTGCTGGCATTACATGAAAACTAGCGCAAGGACTATAACACCTATTGGTGCAATTTCATCATGGTACGAAAAGAGTTTTCTATCGTTGTATCAGGATTTATGAAATAATATGAATTTCATGACCTTTTTTTATTGGCTGGTAGTGGAATGGTCCACATGTGCTCTCAGTATATGCTGGCGGGAAACCACTAAGAAATGATAGATGAGAATGAAAGCAAATCAGTTAGCCTATTGTGACGTAATGAATTTCACAAAAATCAACCATGACGATTTCCAAGGAGAACTGCATGGAGACCGACCTGATATGGTATATCACCAGCAATTGAGACTGTTAAACTCCATTACTAACAATTCCTTTTTCCCCCGTTCATGGACCTTAAAATTTTGTACACGTGTATGTAACTACGTGAACGAAGTCACGAGACAATGGCTAGTTTACAATAATATTTACAATATAAGCAGATAAGTTTTCTCACGTCTAATTTAGATAAGATATATAAAGTACAAAGTCTCATTAATGACGCACGGCATTCTGTTGATATAATTATATTTAGGTACAGTCACGCTACCTCCCTTATCGGACTTCGGCTGTAGTTACCTAAATATTTTTTTGCCTTGAATACTTTGTAAATAATTATAATTAACTGCCGTGTGGTCCCGTCATAAAATGGGCCACCCCTTCCTTGTCTGTGGGTGTCGTAAGAGGCGACTAAGGGAAATTAATAGTCGAGAGATAGGCAGTAGCGTCATTCTTTCAATATCACCACCGAATTGGAATGTTCCATCCAACCATCATGGGAAGTGTTCTTAGGAATTGTTCGGATTGATACCTGCTGCTGATTTTCACCACCGTACAATCCGCCACAAACTAAAGTTTCATCCCAATCATCTAGACAAGTGGCGGTCTTCCACCGTGCGTTTTTCAAGGCACTTTCTTCCACGCACAACCATTCTTTGTAATCGACTTCCAGCAGCAGTATTTCCGAACCGATACGTCAATATAACCTTCAAGAAAAGAGTATATTCCTTTTTAAAAGGCTGGCAGCACACCTGCAATGCCGCTGGTGTTGTGGGTGCTCATGGGCGGCGGTAGTCACTTACCATCAGGTGAGTTGCAGGCTCGTTTGCCCCCTGTGTTGTAAAAAAAATCACCAAAGCCAAACTACGGTTGCCAATTCATCTATCAAGTGTGGCTAGCCACACGGGGAGGCCTATATTCCGCAGTGAGCAGTTAACAGTTGATATTATAAAAAAAAATATATAATGACTTATAACAACAATATATGCTGGTGGAACACTAGTGATGATAATCATCAAATCAGCCATTAACTGCCCGCTGCTAACATAGGCCTTCCCCAGAGACGGTTATAAAGACCCGTTCTAAGCCACCTGCATCCATTGCAAATGATAAGAGGCTTCGCACGGGTGGACATTTTTATATTTTAAAAAGTGGCCATTAAGGCTGCACACGCGACGGAAGCTTAAAAATGGAGTAACTTCTTCCGTTTCATCCCCTTCACTGCTCTGCTCTTATTGATCGTAGCGTGATGAAAAGTATACTATAACCTGCCCAGGAGTATGAAGAATAATTGTACCAAGTTTCGTTAAAATCTATCGAGTAGTTTTGGTTTTTATAACGAGCATACAGACAGACAGACAAAAATTTTACTGATTGCATTTTTGGCATCAGTATCGATCACTAATCACCCCCTGATAGTTATTTTGGAAATATATTTCATGTACACAACTTACCTCTCCACAGATTTATTAAAAGTATACAGATAGATAAAAACAATAAATAATTATACTTACTATAAAAATAAATTTACTATCCTTAAATCTATGCTATTGTTTTTATAATCATCATCATCATATCAGCCCTTAACCGTCCACTGTTGAACATAAGCCTCCCCCTTGGGAGGTTTTGGCAGTAGTTGCCACGCTTGGCAGGCGGATTGGCAATCA